AATTGGAGCAATTATGCAGATGAAGAGTCTTACTAGCAAATTACATCTAAAGCAACGTCTATATTCTCATTGTATGACAAAATGTACATCTCTTGAGGATCACCTGACTGCTTTTAAGAGAATCGTGCTGATTTGGAGATCTTAGAGGTCAAATATAATAAAGAAGATTTGAGATTGATTTTATTGTATTCATTATCCGATTTATACATGTCTTTTAGATATACGATTTTGTATTGTCGTAATACTCTCGCCATTGAAGAAGTCTATGATGCTCTATATTCAAATGAGAAGATAAAAAATCTTATAGCATTTGAGAGTCATGGAAATGGCCTCATTGTTAATGATAGTCGTTCAAGGGACAAGTCAAAGTCTAATTTCAAATTTTGTAATTATTGAAAGAAAAAAGGGCACTTGATAAACGATTGTAATAAGTTACAAAATAAATAAAAATAAATTTTAAATCCACAATCGGAAACTTCAGGGGAAGCAAATATTACAGAAAATTCTAACAGTTATTGAGAGCTTTTACTTATGTCTGATTACAACTCCAAACCTGACGATACTTGAATTTTTTATACAGCTTGCACTTTTCATATAACTCCTAATCGAGATTTGTTTCCAACATATGAAGAAATATCAAAAGGTGTTGTTATGATCGATAATAATAAACCTTATCGAATAGTTGGTATTGGTATTAAGAATAAAGATGTTTGATGAGACGGTTAGAATACTTGATGCAGTGAGACATATTCCAGATTGAAAGAGAAATCTTATCTCCTTAAGTTCTCTTGATTCAAAAGGGTACATGTATACTGTTGAATGTGGAGTCCTGAAAGTTAGTAATTATGAGCCAGTGTTTTGTTAAATGGACATAAAAAATTCCATTTATATATCTTGCAGTGTTATACAGAATCTTTGAGAAATCACCATATTTAAAGAACTCAGATGAATTTGGAGTTAGATTGTTTGAGTCTAATTTGGGGTCTTATTTCAGAAATACATCTTAGTTGAATTTAAAGGTTATAGGTAAATCCGTCTTGTCACCATCATCGCCAGTATCATAGTATTCAGTTGCTAGTAATAAACCTATTTTTTGCCACAATATTCCACATAGGTACAATTCTGTTGATTTAGTTGATGATTTGAATGCGATTATGGGTGTTGATTCTAACTAAAATCCTTCTTTTGTTGCACTCAGTTGTGTTTCTGTTACAAGACTTGTTTCAGTCTTCTTGAGTGGTTGTTTAATCACTTTTACCCATAATGGGGGTAGCAAAGGTGGAGAATATTTTCAGTTTGACTTTTTTATGGAGTAGTTCGTTTTTGTTTTTTATTAAAGAGTTCGAGTTTATTCCTTACAGTAAAATTTCTCTCCAGGTGGAGAATTTTTCCTTTGAAGTTTTGTTCATTGCAGTAGAATTCATGTCAAGATGAAAATTGTTAGAATTTGGATAGGACCGGAATTCTTTGTTGAAGATAATTGAGAGTTCTAATTAAAGTGCACATTAAGAGGAATTCTAATTGAAATGCTATTGTGAAATTCTATTNGATTGTACAAATTGATTTTTCCAATTCTAGAAGAAGTTTTATTTGAAAATTTTATTGGGAGTTGTAATTAGCGGGCCCCACACTAATGTGAGAGATTGTAATTTTTACAATCCCTTAATGATTGTACAAATTGATTTTTCCAATTCTAGAAGAAGTTTTATTTGAAAATTTTATTGGGAGTTGTAATTTATTTTGGACTCGAAGATGTTGAAATTATTGATCAGAAGGTTTTCTCGCCGCGTTTTCGCCCGCCAGCGCTAGCTTACTGCTCAAGCGATAAGGTGTTATTTTACCCAACCCTTTTTTTTTTTTTTTGCGTTTTGATAAGTTTTCTTGCGTTCTACTTCAACTACAACTCTACAATTAAGGTTTGGACGTCATCTATTTGTTCCTTATATATAGTTGGCTCTTCGTTATGATTTTGTAAAAAATTAGAAACGTTGCAAGGACAAATCTTTGTATTCTTTCTTCATAATATAATAAAATCTTAATTATCTGCAAATTATTTTATTCTTGTGTTCATGTGATCAATTACTTCATATTATGGTTATAATATCTTGTTTCTCCAACAATTTGATATGAATTAATTCGATATCATCTCCGGTTTTCACTACAACAGAAAACCAACATGTATAACTTGCAGTCAATATTTATGTGCAGCAAAAAGCACACACTAAGAATCATCCAAAAACATCCACCGTAATGTACATCAATGCAGACATTTGCAGCTACTAATTATATTAGAAAAGAAAAGTCCACCAGAATTCTGCCATCAATCGAAAAATCATGGAGCAAAGCAAACACCTACAATTCTCCAAAATTCTATTATCAATAAGAAAAAAAAAAAATGGACCATTCCTTCTCCTTTGTGTTTCCCTTTTTGTTTACCCACCCATATAGCTTCGATTGGAGGAGCATCCACAGCTAGTCACAAAGAAAGGTTGTTCATCAGACTGAGCGTGTTTTCATAACAAGTCAAGTAAGTCTCCACTAAATAGTAGTCCACGAAAAAAATAGACTTTCTTTTATGGAAGCGATACTTGAAACAACATTCCTTAATTTTCAGGACACGTCGACGTCAATTTTGCAAGTTCAATGACCACAACTCCACCACCTTAAAATATAGTGAACAATCGAAGACGTCTTTAAAAATACAGTAGACAATCAAAGATATTTTTCAAAACGTAGGGAGCAATCAAATACACATTTTTTTACGTGTGAATTTGTATAACGGAGTTTGGGCCCTACCTATACATTCCGTCCGTCATATCACCAAGTCTTTAGATTTGTGAAACAGATAAGTTTAATGGCCGATATCTAAAATTTTAGTGATCAGTCTAAGACACAGACATAAGTTTAGTGATTATTGGGACAATTAATTCTTTATATCTCTTCAAAGAAATTTTTTCCTTTCGAAAATGTCCTTTTAATGTACGAGTCTCATTTTTTTGGGTAAAAAATGCATTTTAAAATAGTGATTTGATGGAGCATATTTGGTTTAAAAAATATTGAGTTTACGTAATATTATTTTATTAAAAAATGTGGGATTAAAAATAAGAAAAAAATGTATTTTAAAAATAATATGGGCCAAACAAGGGCTTATAAACACATTCCTTTCCTATACGTACTATGAACAGTATTCTAAAAACGTTTGTCTTGGCATAGGGCATTCATCGGCACGTTAGCCTTGTGCTTTTTTGTTTTGAAGTCGAACCAATGGACAAAATGCTCTATCATTAAAATTTAAGCCCTTTTTGGGTCACATTATTTTTTCATTCTCATTCTTCTACTCATTTTCAATCACATATTTTTAATAAAATAATATTTTCTATCACATGACTAACTTTTCCTTCTTTTTCGACCACATATTCCTTATCACATCATTTCAAAAAAATGCATTCGCTCATTTTAATGTGCACCAAACAGGCTCTTAAATGGAAGTAAGTCCAACAAAAATATTCATCCCAACTCGAACCCGACCTACAAATAAAACATTATTGACCGGAGATATTTATGATTTTGGCAATTATGATCTTGTCGAAAACTCGAAAAATATCAATAAACTTACATGGTATACATTATTTTATTTATTTATTAATCCAGAATAATTAAAATATTCTTTAAAAACAGGATAACATCTTATTACGAATATGCCTAAGCAAGCCTAAACTCGTAAATTTTGAGGCTTTACCCCATACATAGGCTCGCCTTGCACCTTTCAGAACTTTACAAAGACAACATTTTTCAATATCCTTTTTTAAGAGAAAACGTATCTCTTATGTACCATCAATATTTTCTATAGTTGTCCCAAAACTTGATTCCATCGAGTATGTTGGAGGTGTGTGTATTGTTGTTACAAAGTTTTTTAGACAAAGGGCTAGGCCTTGGGCTCATCATAGGCCTATTGCAATGATTTAGTTATTTTGTAAGGATTAATGCGAAAACTCGTTGATCTATCAAACAAAATATGTACATTAGAAATTCAAATTAGAAAAACTCAATAAAAAGTTAATACTTTATGAAAAATAATCTCATAAGAGCATATTCAATAATGGTGTAAAATAATTTTAAATTCTAATTTAGATCTCTAACTGAGAATGCCTGTCCCTTTGCTCAAGAGTAGTATTCACCCGTTCATTTGATAGAGCATTTGGATGGAAATTGATGAAAATGACGTTTTGTACGACAAAATATGGAATTAATGGTGAAAATGTCAAAAATAGAAAATGCAAACGTTTTGCATAATAAAAGTGAAACGTATGGACATTTTGTGTTACTTACCCTTTTATTTATATGAAGAACTAGCTCACAACAAAACCTCACAAGCTTAACTTGTGTTTATTAAATGCAACATTAGAAAAACACATTTTAAAACATCATGCGTGAACCGCCCCTTAGGATGCGGGTAACTAGTTTCAGACTTTTAGGTAGAACCATGCTTCTCTTATTTCTGCATCTCTTTCTTGTTATTTTTCTGACTTTCCATTTATTTAATTTTTAACGATTTCAACGAATAATAATGATTTAACTATCTCCTTAAGTAAAAAAAAAAAAAAAGGACCTTTTATTTTCATCTTGTAAGGATCAACTATGCTATAAAGTTAAAAAAGTTGAGGAGGTTGCCGCCAAAAAATAGATCAAGGACCAATTTGTAATAACACATAACCAGGGACCAACGCTGCTATATCTGTACAGCTTCCCAGTCCATCCACCGATCCACGTAACCAAAATCCTCCACCGACCCCACCACCTGACTTATCTCGATCATCAAAACGCTGTCGTTTTAATCACGCACCCATTATCTCCGCACTCTTGTTTCATCGCCGCCATCTCCCGCTCTCCCCCTCCTCCTCCTCCTCCTCCTCCGCTGATTCCACAATCCTCCACCGTGTTTCGAAGCTATTACTCTTTATATATATACATATATCTTAATCGGGAGCGTGGTGAGAGCAATGGCGACGTCGTTTGGAGCAACAAAAGCAACACCATCATCAGCCCCTGTGGTTGACAATGCCCGCAAATCCACTTCTTACTTACCGCTCTACCATCGTCTTTTCTTCAGCCGCTCCCACTCTAAGGTGCCTAAGTTATGTTTCTCCTCCCAGGTAAACAATCAGTCTCTCTTTTGAATTTTTGTTTATTATTAGGAGAATTATGTTTTATTTTGAGTTTCAGGCTTGATGTTGTGAATTTTTGTGTGAGATCGATCTCGGCTTTATGCTATTGCGTAATGTGTGGGTAGTTATTCATGAAAGATTTGTTTTGTCTGTGCTATCATTATTTATATTTTCTGTTGGTCTGTTCCAGCTGGAAAAAAAGGGATGCGAATTTTTTCTGGAAAATGAATCTAATTAAACTTTAAGTTAATTGACACAGAGAGAGAGAGATGCAGCGAAAATGTGGATTAGGTTCCTTAATGTACCTTTCACATGTTTGTGGAAAAATGATTGATAACGAGAAGTCATTTGAATGTAGAAAGCTATATCGCAAAATCTTCGAAGGTCAAATTGCATTTTTTGTCCTTTTCATTATTACATGAGGACTAAGAGCAACAGTTTACTAGTTCTCGCGTTTGTTATAAAGCTGTAGAGTGAAATACCTTGTGCTAAGATTGCTTTCCTTAATAAACCGTGTGTTTTATACAATTATTCAACAGAAAATTATGTTTCTAAACTGTGTCTTCCCTGTGGAGCAAAGTTCTTTGGACATTTTCCTTCCCTTGTTTACTTTTAATTGAAAATTATGAGATTTCTTGGCACTTCTAGTTGATTAAGATGTCAAACGCGGACTTGAACGGTTCAAACCCGAATGTTTCAGCATGGAAAATAACAAGAAAGGAAAACAGATACTGTGTACTTGGATGGATTCTTAAGCCAACGCTTGATGAATGTTCAAAGATAGCTGGACAATTGTACTTCTTTTAGTACAAGGCAAATATAAAATTCTTCTATTGACATTACCAGTCACCAGAACTTGAAAGTTTAAGAATTATGTGATAACCTCACACCTCACTAGTGTCGGCAATTTTTATTTGGTGACATAATATTTTAAAGAATTACTGTTCATAAGAAGCAGGTGTTCTGCTTTTACTACTTTGTATCTTTTTGTTGTTCCTTTACTTCCACGATTCGGAGGAAATATATTACCCTCTAATTTGGGACTCGAGAAAATCAAATAAGAAGATTCAATATAGATTGAATTGTTTTTTGTCATTTGCTTATTCGAGATGGGGGTCTAGCTCCAATGAAATCAAAGAGAAACAGGTCAATTTTAAATCTACTCATTGCCAATCTTTCAATTCTTAATTCAAACTCTTTGTCAGGCAGAGTATAGGTCCAGAATTTAATACATTTAACTTGAGGGAATGAACTCTTAACTGTATATCTTTTTAAGTTTCTACGGTGGTTTTGCTTTATTTGACTTTCCTGATTCTTGATATCCAATCTGCTTTACTATTTTGTTTTCCTGGTTTTGAACCAAGACTGAGCTATGGTTTCGAGAGAAACGAGTTGAATTTCTTTTTCAATTTCATCGGTCATCCTTGCATTCTAGTGTTGATATGTCTGTGTTCCCTTTTTTTCTTGGGCCTGCAGTCTACTCGGAAATCTTCTCTCTCAGTAAGAGCTCAATCAAATGAGGTAAGGTTATTCCAATGATTTTCATACAATGAACTTTTTTTATATATATTTCTTTCCTTTTTGGGAAAATTTTGGAGCCATCTGTTACCTTCAAGGGTGTTGTGGGTGGATCCTCAAAAGCTGTAGTCAATACTCCTGTCAAATCCGAGGTATCAGTTGAGCCTTCACATGCCACTGTGGCCTCAGAAGAATCGATATCTGAGTTTATTACTCAAGTTACTAGTCTTGTCAAGTATGTATCCTTGTTGTCATATTACTTTGACTCCCTCATTCCATTGTTTCTCGACTAAATATTGTAACATATTATCTATTGCAGGTTAGTTGATTCTAAGGATATTGTGGAACTAGAGTTAAAACAACTTGACTTTGAACTTTTAATACATAAAAAGGAGTCCTTACCTCCACCACCTTCTGCACATGTTACAACGGTGCAGTCATACACTCAACCCGCGGTACTGCCTCCAGTCCCAACACCTTCTCCTGTATCAACTGCAGCACCTTCTCCACCCAAAACTCAAATATCAAATTCATCTCATCCACCACTCAAATGCCCAATGGCTGGGACTTTCTACCGAAGTCCAGCACCTGGTGAACCACCATTTGTAAAGGTAATTTGCATATATAATATATTCAGAAGCAGGACTGTCTATGTATTTTTCACTTTTTTTACAGAGTAAAGACAACTTCTCCTCTGTTTTATCTACTCATTTATTTTTCTATCAAAGCTTAAGTTTTATCAACAAAGCAATGCGTTACGTGGATCTAATTAGATTATACAGATAAATTAGCACAGTGCATTTAATTCTCAGACCCCATCCCCCATTTGTCCTACACAATGCATTTTCATGCAGGTTGGTGACAAAGTACAGAAGGGGCAGGTTCTTTGCGTCATCGAGGCCATGAAATTGATGAATGAAATAGAAGTAAGCAGTATATATTGTTTCATACTGGCACTATGGTTTTAATTGTTGCTTTCCTTTATCCTGGTCAATTAGGAATGTCTAACGGAGTTAATTACTTTTTATGTTTTGGTCTTTTTAGCTGTTTATTACTGTAAATGATTTGGCAGTGAAATGTTAGATAGTTGTTCTATTTCTTAGACAGAAAAGATTGCATTAAGATTTGGGTGAGAAATAGGTTGGTAAAATTTTTAATTTTACCCTTAAAGCAATGGCCAAATTGCTCTGTAGTCTTCTCATCTACTATAAGTAGCGACCTTTTTGGGAAGAAAAATACGTATAAAGCAACGACCTATTTTTAAGAACGAAATAACTATTTTAGGTAGAGGTCATTACTCTGGATTTCCCGAAAACGAAATAATGTCATTTTGTGGTGAATGGGGAGGGGCAGCAGATTTTATTATTTGCCGTTCCAAATTTCATCATATACTTTACAATTGAAAAACTGAAATCAAGAGTCAAGCTGCAATGATATTTTAGAATATGTGCAAGATTTTGTTTTTGAATTGAGATATCAAATAAGAAAAAATAAATAGTGGATTGTATTTACAAAGAACCATCTAAGTGTAAAATAATGATAGAGGTAACGGAGCATACATAAGTTTAGGTTTTCACTCTCTAAACTTTTCTTTTGATGTGAACCTGTTTAATTATTTTCCATTTTTGTTCTGGTTAAAGGCTGAAGGTTTAGCATGAAATAATGTTACCTAGTTTTCTTAAATTACATATTGATCACCAAAAGTGTCCTTCAGTGGGTTCTTAATGCGTGCCTTGTGTGTCCTCCTTGTGTCTAAAATCAGAAAATTGATAAAATCATTTGCTAGTATGTTCCCGAACTGCATCTATTTTCCAACACGACTAGCATGGATACTACTGTCCAGAGAGAATGTCCATATCTGCAATGCTATATTTCTCTAATAACAACAATCTTTTTTGGAAAAATGTTGAATTTCATTTTAGAAAAGCTTTCTGAGCATCAATATATGGATCTCACTTAACACGTTTTATGACAAAATTGAGCATGGCCATATTTTGTCCCTTCTTTCACTGTTCTAGAATTGTCTTAGCTATCATGCTCACAATGAATTAACATCTGATTTTGTTTTTTCTTTTCTTGCCCTGCTTAATCTTGCAAACATGATATATTTCGCATTTGCTTCATTTTTCACTATAGCATTACAAATTGATCTCTGGCTGCTATCTGATTTGTTTACTGTTCCTAAACATCTACGCGTAGGCTGATCAGTCAGGAACAATAATTGAGATTCTTGTAGAAGATGGCAAGCCTGTCAGTGTTGACACCGTGAGTAATCTGGACTAATCACTGTCAATTTATGACATAAAATGCTTGATCTAATTTCTCCCTCCAGTCTATAGTTACTTTATTTTTGTCCATCTACAGCCTCTCTTTGCGATTGAACCGTAAAGTGGATGGAGTTAAAGAGTTATTCAGGAGTAGGAGAGCGTGTTCCTTCGATGATCGTGCAGCACTGCGTCATGTGCAAGTACTATCTGTTTTGCATGGAAGAGACTAGAGTTACATTCTTCGTCAAAGCTAGATTTTGTCTGCTGAAACTAATGTTATTTATGATTTGAGAACAGCCTCTTTTAGATTAACGTTATTTCTAATGTCAGTATTCAATCTTTTTAGGGCAAAGTTGAAGTAGATTATGCAACTGAAAGTTGTATTCTGAAATAATTTGTTGTGCATAAAAGGGTGTTTCGATCTTTCATCCATGAAGTCTTCATGAAACACCGTGCCCCACCAATCCGTCTTGACACAATAAATGTCACTACATCTTCAAGATTTTGCGTTTCGACTGTTGAAGATTTTGGGAAATTGATGCAGATTCTAATAAAATGGATGGATCAAAAAAATTGAAATGTCCCAACTATTTTGGTCTGTCAACCATTTGAGCAACCGTTATAGATAGAGTAACGGTATTCATTACCACGGGTGTCAAGTGTCAATTTATGTGATAATTACATGACATTAATTATAAATTCATAAATGCAAAGTCACATAATTTATATAATTAAAATAATAAAGTGTAGTCACCTAGTACTCTAACATGACTCGTGCTAAAAAGTATTATTCTATCAATACAAGTTGAATAATACTATTCAAATTGAAGACTGTCGGCAATCGCTTTCCGTAGTATACATGTATCGTTTTGTTATTTGATAAATTAATGTGATAATTGTTTAACATCTCATACATCAAATAACATAGGACGACTTCAATTAGATTATATCAAAAATAAACAAGGAACCATCTTTTCCAAATTCCAACCCTTCTCCATATGCCAACTACAAAAGATTGAAAAACAAAAAGAATCAAGATGAAAAAAGAAAACACAGAAGGGCAACATTACAATTACGAAGAAGAAAAGCATTTTCTAAGCTCAATTCGAAAAATTATTGCATCGCATCGCATCGCATGATTGATTTTATTGATCATTCATTCTAGTTGCCGGCCGGCAGCCTCAGCAACAAAGGGCAAATATGGAGTCTTCCCAAGAACACTACTCACAACCCCATAAACAAAACACGCCACCACAAATGCAAAAATCCCGGAATGTGCCCACGCCGTTATCTTCAGCCCGATTCCGCTTCGACCCGGAGAAATTATCCTCTGTACAAGCATCGGCACGACAAGCAATACGTCGAGCACCAATGCCTGAAGGGCGTTGAACCGCGCGTAGCGGCTCAGCGAAGGATTTCGGACGATGCCCAGATAAAGGGCGAAGAAGGAGATGAAGCTGGCATAGGGGATGGAGTGGTAGAGAGATAGTAGAGGGAGGAGGGGTTGGAAAGGAATTGAGAGGGATGGGTATTTGGTGAAGAGGAAGCGGCCGTATTGGAGGCCGTTGAAGAAGGGGAGGAAGTAGGATGCTGCGGAGATTAGGCGGTCGGTGGCAGGGGTTGGGGTGTAGGAGCAGCTTGTTGTGGTAGTAATGGATTTCTGCGGCGGTGGTCGGAGGATTGGGAAGGTAGATTTGAGGGGGTGAGGAAGGACGAAGGCGGTTTTATGGCTGCGGGGTGGTAGAGAGAGGCGGATAAGAGGGAGTGAGGCCATATTCGGCGGCGGTTGGTTGGGGGATTAGGCTTCGACGCTTTGTACAGTGGAGGAGCTGGGATTACAGTTTACAGACAGACGAAACTATAGAAAATAAAATGAAAAGAATGGGGCTTCCAGAACCGAAAGAGGAAATTGACAAATATAGCATCAGATAACTGAAACAAAGCTTAATAATTTAGCCCAATGTTTGGTAATTCCAATCTAGGTCGAAATCAATGTTTAGTTTTAACCACATATTTTTATGGACAACCTTACTACATTGCTAGAAAATCTTAGCATCTTGATTGACATAATGAAACATGACAGTATGTCATTGGCCAGTTTAAAAAAAATAGTTTTTCCATCAATTATTCATCGTCGCCAATGCGTATGTCATCTAAAGTGGTAAACTCATCTCGCTAGAAAACATTATTCTTTTATGAAATTCACAAATTTTCAACTACACATTTCATTAACTTTTATCAAAATCTATTAAAAAACTGATTTTAATCCCTATCAAAAAAGGTCTTAAAATTTTGGTGGTCGAAGTGAAATTTATTTTGTGCAAATTAAAAAAGTTGATAAATCTAAGTTAAAATAAATAATTTATTTCAATTGTACATTTTATAGAATTCACAACTTTTATCAATTTTACTATCATACTCAATACAATTGACCACCTCATGTAATTCAATGCAACATCGAAATTCAAAAGTACTTGTAGGATCGGGTTCGATCTGATTTTATCCAGAATCACTCAAAACAATTTTGATTGGAAATATTAAAAATAGAGCCAACAAACCAGAAGAGAACCAAGATAGCTCTTTCCGCTCCAACCATTGAGTCGTGTCAGAAGAGAAGAGAAAAAGTAATTAAACAAGATTTAGACGTAGCCATTGTCAAAACAACAAACGAAAGGCAGATAGGAGGAACACAATCTCTTTTCAAAATACGGAATTAGTTATCTTACTTTTCACTTTCGAATTTAACATCTTAGCAATTGGTTCTCACTTGAATTTGAAGTAGGCTTAGAGAAAGAGAGGATAACATTTTTGGGTTTTACTAGACGTACACGGGGGTTTACACTCCCGTGTACCCAGCCCCACCTGCCCCCTCACAATAGGG